AATATTGGCCGATAATTCCCCTGGAGTTATTGCATTTTACCCTACTGGCCCACCTGTTCCATTTTTCACAATGCTTCCTGTATACAACATCCCACCCAAGGCCGGGACAAGCCATTTAAGTGGGGAAGAAGGAAGCAATGACAATAGTGATTCTGGTCAGAACTTTGATTCATCATCTGAAGTTTTGATGAATCATTCCGATGAACCACACAAATCTGACATTCTTAACAGTGACTTTGCCAGCCATTGGCAAAACTTACAATATGGAAGGTTTTGCCAAAGCCCAAGATACCCTCCCGGCCCTCTAGTTTATCCATCGCCCATGATGGTACCACCCGTCTATCTTCAGGGTCGGTTCCCTTGGGATGGTCCCGGAAGACCTGTCTCAACCAATGGGAACATATACACTGAAATGAGCTATAGTCCCCGTCTGGTTCCCGTGTCATCCATCCAATCTGTGTCTGATAGACCTGCAAATATGTTTCAAAGGTATGCCGATGAGATACCCAGGTATCGCAGTGGGACCGGCACTTATCTACCGAATCATCCTGTAAGATTTGTTTTTCTTCTCAAACTGTTTAAAATTAGCTCATTTTCCGTGTGAATTGGGTCTTGCCTTTTTAAAGATATAGCATAAACCTCTTATTGCAAATGATGTTTATTGATGGTCCTTTTACTTTTTTGAGGAAGAAATTCTAATAAGAGGATGACACTTTTGGTCTCCCGGTTATGGGGAAATTTTAGGTTATTGATACCACCATTTTTAGTCCTCCACGTTTTAATAATCTTTTGTTTTTTAGTTCTCATTCGAAGAAAACTTCAATTTGTAATGTACTCCATCTTTACCAAAAAAGGTTATTGTTTTCCTTTGAATGTTTCCCAAAATAAGGTTCCCATTTTAAATACAATTGTATAAGATTGTAATCAAATGCTAACAAGATTAGCATTTCAAAATACATTGATTTGTCTTTATAAGATCATAGCCACAGAATAGAAAGATTAAAGTTTGTTTAGACAGATAACTTGATTTTTTAACTTGGGGATTAGACACCCTCCCCAGCCCCACTCCCGTGGGATTATACTGGGTTGTTTTTTTTAATGAAAAAAACATTACTATGTGTATTCTTTGTGAAGTGCTGTCATCTTTATTGCGACGGTAAATGATAAAAAATGGCAGCACATCCATAGCCGTGCACCAAAAGAGGGAAAAAGGCGCGGAGCAAATGTGAGAATGACCTAATAGTTGTGGCCTTTAAAAGTGTAAACTTTTCATCTCTTAATGCAAATTAGTGTTCTTTGTTTGATCTTTTACTTTATGGGGAATTTATTTTAATTGATTACTCTCAACTGGATGATGATGACATTTGTAATTTGCTTTTCTTCTTCAGAAGGTTTCTGCAAGGGATAGAAACTCCTCTGGTACCCGACGTGGAAATTACAACAGTGAGAGAAATGACAACATTGACAGAGAGGGAAACTGGAATTTAAAGACAAGAGGTGCTGGACGTGGGGGCCACAACCGCAATCCATCTGAAAAATCAAACTCAAGATTGGACCGTTGGCCTTCCGGCGAGAGCCGAGTTGATAGGCCATGGAACAGCTCCTATAGAACGGACTCTTTCCACTCTTACCCATCACAGAATGGTCCTTTTCATGCTACTAATTCGAATCATAGTGGTGCTTCAAACATAGCATATGGTGTGCATCCATTCAGTGCAGCTATGGGAGGGTCTACTAATGGTGGGCCCAATGGTCCTGTTGTAATGATATATCCATCATATGACCACCACCCTAGCAATTATGGTTCACAAGGAGAGCCACTAGAGTTTGGATCTTTTGGACCAGTAGGGTTCTCAGGCATGAATGAACAGCACTTGCTAGGGGAAGGGACTAGACCTAGGACAGCTTTTGAATATGGCAGGTTTCACGGGCAGCAGCAGTCCTCTCCTGACCAACCGTCTTCACCATGTAATCAGAGGTAACTGTTTTCTCATTTTGTTTAATACTCCGTATTATTATATAACGTGTGTTTTTATTACTCCGTTACGAATACCGAGAGTCATGAAGTTGGCCTTGAAATATAGATTTCAAGGACTAAAAACACAACTATGAATCGTTTCTGCCAAAATAGATAACCCGACACAGACAAAACTATGTGAGAATGTGAGATATAAACACATATTTTGAGGTTCAATAATACAATATGACACAGCTAACAGTCATATTTGTTTTAAAAAAGACATCCATGCACTGAAATGACTAACATCATATAATTCATGAACTAAATATGTAATCAGCTTTATGTAATACAATGTACATGATATGAGCATGGAACCAACCTCTCTACTCTTTGGGGTAAAGGTAAAGGCTGCAGAAATTTTGACCGTCAGAACCTACAATTGAGTGGGATATACTGAGTTTGGTTGATTTGGTAACACATGACACGAGCATCTTGAAAAGTGGTAATATAAGCTCTTGGAATTGGTTTCTTACCAAAGGCAATGACAGGCTAAAGATAACAGGGCAACACAATTTCTACTTAAATCTCTGCGCATATATTATGAATCTATGACATGTTAATTTCGCGTATCATGGCCTCGATTGCAGGAGGGTGTAAATATTGGGGTAGATCTGCAATTGGAAAGTTAAGGGGCCCCCCATTAATCTTTTTTATCAAGCTGGAACCGTAAATGATGAAGCAATGTATCCTCCTCCCATTGCCATGGGGTCTCTTCGTCCTACATACTTTTGATCATTAGATCCGATGATATCGTAGGATATAGAGCCGTCGTCGCACTTACATGTCTTGTTGTTGTAGAGTTGTAGACTACTCATTTGTATGTTTTTTTTCGAAAGCAAATTTAAATCATAGCCGTGGCCTCTCCAGTAGCAACACATGGACAGGCATTTTGGTGGAAGTGGGTGACAAAGTTTATGCATTTCAGTCCTCTCCTTGTAGGGAATGTGTGTAAACTCCCAATGATGTAAAACTTCCAAAAGTGTATTGGCCATTTGACATTGTTATAGTGGTCATTTTGACTTTTTTTTTTTAACTATATACTCCGTGTGTCTATACACACACAAACACACACACACACACATACATATAGACAGTATATAAACCTTCAACTTCGTAATGGTGTAGTGCAGCAAACATTTTCAACATATTTATGATGAATACTCATTTTTTAAGAAAAAAAGTTTTACATTTTTGGCTTGTTTCAGAACACGGAGTATTACTTTTTGTTTTGGAATGAATTGCGGTTTTGGTTTGTCCTTTTTTTATTTGGTATAAACATCAATTACACAAATATATATTTCTTCCTAGGTATTTCCTATATCCCAATTTAAATAGCCTGTTTTGATTTTTGGGCATATTTAAGGAAAATAAAAAATAGAGTTGATTTTTCGAAATTGACATTACTTTTTAGAAGGGGTGATGATAAATGAGAAAATAAGGTGAAAAAAATTGACTTATTTTAGGGGTATTTTAAATATTTTATTTTTAAAAGTTTACGAAAACAACTAACAGACAACTTATTTTGGGACGGAGAAAAAAAGCAAACAGACAATTTAAAATGGGACGGAGGGAGTAAATGATATGGTGAATCTAAAGGCCACATAATTTATTGTGGGGACTTACAGTTGGGGAAGTAAGTAAATTTATATTATTCAAATAAGGTTCTACTCCGCATTTTTCTAAAAAAAAAAAAATCTTTGAATTTGATAAAGTTAACAAAAAATGTTGTGGACCTTAGGTCCATTAAAGAAGTACTCCATTAGTAAATGTGAAAGTGTGTGATTTTATATGTTTATGTAAAAAAAAGATAATTTTCTCTTATCTTCTTCACTAAAATGTGAGTCATTCCGTTTCTCCTTCTCTTAGTATAATCTGTTTTTCATTTTCTTTTCCTTATACTCTATGTTTCAATTTAAATCATCTGCTTCAGTTTACGACGTTTGATTGAAATTATTTTTAATACATTTTATTTGACAATTGGGGTGGAATTTAAAAGTAGAACTTATATATTTAAAAACTAAATAAAAAATCTATATAAACAAGAGGTGACTAGGTTTTTTTTATCAAATGAGTAATGAAATTAAAGAAAGAAAGTAAAATCAGTTTGACCTTATGAATAATAAATACTCTGTATGTAATTTAAGAATGATCTGAGAATGACTCGGAGAGCTATAATGTTCTATAGATAAAATTAATACTCTCCCCGTCCCATTTTAAATTGCCTGTTTGCCTTTTTTTCCGTCCCAAAATAAGTTGCCTGTTAGTTGTTTTTGTAAACTTTTAAAAATAAAATACCTAAACTACCCCTAAAATAAGTCATTTTTCTTCACCTTAACTTCTCATTCATCATCACCCCTTCTAAAAAGTAATAGCAATTTCGGAAAATCAACTACTCCGTATATTTTTTATTTTCCTTAAATATGCCGAAAAATCAAAATAGGCGATTTAAATTGGGACGGAGAGAGTAGTTACTACCATGAAGAAGATTTGGGAGTACTAACACTTAATTTTACCACAGAGCTTTGTACGTGCTCCAAAAAGCTTGACTCATTATTTGTACATTTTTTTCTATAGTCAAAAGAACTTGCCATTTTAAATAATACTCCCTCCGTTCTCAAAAACACTTCCTTTTTCAATTTTTCCATTTCAAACAAAACAATTACCCTTTCTATTAAAAAATCACATTTACCCTTACTTTTTCATACCCTACCTATCACATCATACTTTTTCTCTAATAATCTATCCATCACATCTTACTTTTACCCATCACATCAGGGCAAAATTGGAAATCAACTATAATTTAACACTTTCTTATTTTTGCCTCCAAATCAAATGAGAAGAGTTTTTCCAAACAGAGAGTACTAGAATAACATAATAATGCATTCAGGCTGCATTTAGTTGATGAGTGTATTTAATATTTTAGTAGAGGTGTCATACAATAAATTTAAAACACTACAAGTAAAGATTAACGTTAAATACAGAGTAATGTTTTTAAAAATGATAATGTCAGATGTTGAATGTATAATTATTTCTTTTTTTTAAGTGTACATTCAATAGGTTTCCCTACCACTTGGTCGTAGTTGAGTAAATTGCCGATTGTCCCTTTCCCTTTTCTCGTCCCCATCTTCTCTGCAGGCGATTCAGAAAATCATCAATCGAAATCCATCGCCAGGATGCAAGAAACCAACGCCGTCCACCAAGTCCTCGTCAAGCTCCTCGACGGCAAGCACAAAACCCTAAATTTCCCCTGCCAATCCGTATCCGTTCAAGCCCTAAAAGAGCAAATCCAAACGCTAACCCTAATCCCTGCCCCTCTCCAACTTTTGCTATCCTCCACCTCTCGTTGCCCTTTACAAGACCACCAATCGCTCGATTTCACGACCGGGTCACGCCAAGCATCCGTTTCGCAAAACGGGTCGAGCAATGGGTCCGGCTATTTCCCCGTGGTGGTGCACGTCTTGCTGCGACTGAGAGGAGGAAAAGGAGGGTTTGGGTCGTTGCTTAGAGGGGCCGCAACCAAAGCCGGGCAGAAAAAGACCAACAATTTCGATGCTTGCCGGGATATGAGTGGAAGGAGGCTAAGGCACGTGATGGCCGAGAAGAAAATGGAGGAATGGCTGGCTGATACGGAGGAACGGAGGATGGAGAAGATTGCGGAGGACTTTATTAAGAAAAAGGCCAAGGAGTTTGCTAAGAAGGGAATGAATGGTGGGAGTAAGACAGGGGAGAGCACAGAGAAGTATGTGGCCAAGTACAGAGAGGACTCCGAAAGGTATGTGCTGGAGATTGAGAATTCTGTGAAGGAATCTCTCAAGGGTTGTCTGGGTTCTAAAAGGAAAGCTGCAGGCCTGAATAATAAATCAGACGCCAAGAAGCTTAAAATATGGTAATCTCTTTCTGACCTCTTCTGATCTTAAGTACTTGTAATGATCATACCTACGTATCCATGTGTTTTTTCTGTTGATTAGATTATCATCTAGCATAGATTTTCCTGGTCCAGTCTTGATTCTATGCTGTTTGGTTCTAACCATTTCTTATTTCTTGTTTTTTTTTGTCAGGAAGGGTAAGAGAAAAGTGGATGATACTGACAGTGATAGTGAAGATTTGGATGACAGCGACGATGAAAAAGATGGAGAAGATGTGATTTCTGTTGTTATAGATAATGGGAGTTGTTCTCACTCGAGTGCAGAAGCAAATGGAAGTGAAAACTCGGTTATGTTTGGGAAAAGTGATGGGGGTAGCTCTGAGGAGGAGAAGGTAAAAACTGGAGAGGAGAGTCCTGAAGTTTGTGTAACAAGTACTGAAGTGGTAACAGCTCCGGAGGAAGGGCAAAAGGAGACCACACCGACTCCGGATCAAGAAAGGGAACTTCAACTTGGAAGCTCCTTTTCTTCGGAAACTATCAGATCTGATAATGAAGTGGCATGCTATTCTGAGCCTGTTCTTGCTGAGGAAGTGGTTGTCGCACCCACTATCCAGGTTGCTTCTGTGTGCGATGGAACTTCTGTATTGGATGCCGGCAGTAACTCAAACTCTAATGTTGCTGCCAAAGAAGTAGAAATTTCTCTATCTGCTCCCGAGAAAGATATCATTATGCCCTTGAATTTTGGTGAAATTAATTCTTCTGCAGAACTGGAGGTACGTCGTCAATTATCATAATAATTGAAACACACGTCTATTTTAATCTTCTGTCCTCTGTACATTGATATAGTGGAAGCTTTTTATACCATTGTGGAGATGTGAGGATTTCAAAAATCCAAGATACGGAACTGTCGATTTGTAAAATTGTCATGGAAATCAGTTCCTCTTTATAGCAGAAATGCAACATAGTAAATGCACTGAATATGGTTAATTATCAGAAAATCCTAGTGGCATGGTCATTTTGATGCAATGCAGTAGTAATGGTTAATTCCCCGAATAAACTTTCAGTTGATGATAGCTTTACTCAGCTGAGTTAGGTAATGTTGATTTGTTGTTTTTGCAGTTCGTAGCTGATTTTCTCTTTATCTTTTTTTCCCTGTATACTTGATTTAGGTTCTTGGCATGGATAGGCTAAAATCAGAACTTCAAGCTCGGGGATTGAAGTGTGGGGGGACACTGCAAGAGCGTGCATCCAGGCTATTCCTTCTCAAAACCACACCTTTGGAAAAGCTTCCAAAGAAGCTTTTTTGCAAGAAATGAGTTTGTAGTTGTTTGGCATGTACATTCCGTGTTGAATGCAATATGGAGGACACAAACTTTGTTTTTCTTTCTTTCTTTGTTTTTGGTGCCGAAAGAATACATCAATGAAAAGTATCTCAATCTTGTGTACCCATTTTAATTGCTGTAAAATATAACTATGGCAAATTGTGCACTACTATGTTTGCTTGTTAAATTAAATATTACTCCCTCCGTCCCAATTTATAGTGTCTGTTTCGGTTTACGATGTTTGATTGAAATTATTTTCAAATCATTTTATATGACATATGGTACAGAGTTAAAAAATAAAAATTACATATTAAAATACTGCATCAAAAGATCTACAAAACTAGTACTGACAATAGTTTTATTTTATCAAGTTGCTAATGAAAATAGAGAAAAAAAGTGGATAAAGTTTGACCTTGTAAATAGTAAACAGACACTATAAATTGGGCGGAGGGAGTAAAAAAAAGCTTGACTTGCAAGTTCCAATATGAATTAGTTAATCTTGTTGTTAGAGTTGAAAGAATATCCTCCTTTTCTGGACAGAAAAGAGGGGTTGAAGTGCTCATAGTGACATATAGAAATGATATTTCAGAGTTGCAAATAGCTGCTTTTACAAAATTGCATCAGGCCAGGTATTTGTGAACACAACAATGGGAGGAAGTGGATTCCCTACAAAGCAGACATGTAAGGGTTGGCACTTGGAAGCTGCCCGCCATCGCCTTCAAACCCCATTGCTGTATTCTCTCTGAGAGGACTCCAAAAAAAATCCCAATTGCTGCTGCCAGTGTCCCGTGACCGTTGAATCGCCATATCCGTCGTCCCAAGGGTTACAATATCTTGGGGGCAAAATGGAGAATTCCTGCAAATGGGACATGTGGACTTGGCTTGCAACCATGTGGCGAGGCAGTGGGCATGGAAAGAGTGCTGACAGCCATGCATCAACCCTAGCCCCTGTTCCGGCTGGTAATCTTCTTGGCAAATGGCACAAGTGTTCTGCCCCGGCCTTGGGAGTATCCCCCCATCTTCTTCGCGGTACACCCTTATAGTGTAGCACCTGATGTCTATGTTTGTCCGTCTGGGGGGGACTGTCTCTTGCTCCGACAGGCTCTGTAGGGCTGGTTGAGGCCTGGCCGGGGGGTTCCACGCGCCTCGCCGTGCATGGGGTGCGGTGCTTGTGGTCCCAACGACTGGGTTCTGCTCTCCTCGCCGTGTCTGGGGAGCAGTCCTTGTGGTCCCCGCTTCTGGGTTCTGCTCTCCCCGCCGTGTTTGGGGAGCAGTCCTTGTGGTCCCCACAACTGGGTTCGGCTGCACTGCTCTGGTCCTGCCACCGCCGCTGGTGTGAGACCAGCGTAGCAGGTGTCTGTAGTGCTGATGCGCCCTGATGTACGCGAAGCACCCCGTGCAGGCCATGAATATAGCACCAGGGAAGATTATGCACAACACACTAATCAAGAAAATCCTTGTCCCCTTTTTCCTTGCCGAGCTTCCTGTAGTTAATGATTGTCAGTGTCACCACCACCACCATCATCGTCATCATAGATTTTAGGGGTCATGCTGTGTTGATTATGTTTCAGAGACTGACAATGAGACTAACATTTTACCCATACTTATAATCCCAACCTTATAGTGAAATGAAATTTTAGTTGTCAAATTCCCAAATCGTGGGAATTGTCCATTTGTAAAACAGGGTCCAGTCCTAATTACGAGAATCATGACGTTCAAGGTTTCCGATCTGTCTCTACCAAACAAATCATATGGAGAGAACCGAAAAGCTAGTCCCCAACCAAACACGACTATTTGAGACCATTCGTCGCTTAATTTGTAACCTCTAACTTCTATTCTAGAGGGGAAAAAACAAGGTAGCTTGCTTAGTAGGGAAGGATGTAATAGAAAGTGAGATGGAGTGAATAGATTACCGGGCGAAGGAGGTAGGGTGGAGTTGTAGTAATTGCAACCCACAGACTGGATGGTATAATCTGCATAGGGAGCAAATGCACAGACGCCACCCTCGGCCTCGCACGACCTGCAATCGGGAGAACTCCATCCCAGCCTGAATTCACCACCACCACCACCACCGGAGGAGGAGGAGGAAACCCAGTCATCCGAGACCGGGACCCGCACATCAGCGGCGTACGTCTCGCAAGCGTTCTCACTCAAAGCTCTCGTGACGTTCGGGGAAGAAGTGGCCACCACGGAGACGGTGGAGTTGCTGAGGCAGTGTATGACGGAGAAGGAGGAGAAGTTGGCGGCACTCTTCAAGGAGGCGTGTTTGGGGCACTTGAGGAAGGTGTAGTTGCGGTAATGCAGAGGCGCAAAGGGGGAGGAGGAGAGGCTGTCCAGATTCAAGAACCTCTTGGGGAGGCAGTTCTTCGGGTCGTAGAGTGTGATTTGTTGGGCCAGGTAGTCGATGCCGCGGACGAAGAAGTCTCCACAACAGGGGAGGTTCAGAACCACCTTGCTGCTGCTGGAATTGCTGCTGCATCTCAGAGTGAACAACGGATCATAGGCGCAGCTCATGAACGTGTCCTGGTTTTGTAAGCCGAAAGGGAAGCGTATGGACACCCCACCCCCTTCTTGGCTGCAAGTGGAGGGTTGGCAATCGGCAGCTCTTGAGAGGGCTAATACTTGCTGTGAAATGAAGAGAAACAGGGCTGCTTGCAAAATGGCCATATATGATATGGATGTTTCACCGAGACAAATTCTACGAGTAATATTTTTTTTCTTGTATAAATAATTATAATATAATGCTTAGCCTGCTCTCCTGGATCATTGGGAAATGTATTTAGTAGTGAGAAAGAAATATGCTGATGAGCAGATTTTGATTTGACTGCTACACAATTACTTTATTTGATTTGGATATCGAATTGAATCCTTCCTATAATTTCTAGCTTTTTTTTTCACCTTTTTCTCTTTATGTCCTATGATCTTTTTGGTCACTGCTTTTTGGGTCTTGCTCTTCAACTTCTATTGTGTGGTGACTTTTTTTTTTCTTTCTCTCCACTATTTAAAGTGACAGGCATAAAAACAAAAACCATCTAATAGAAAAAGGGGGCTATGTTCTCACTTCCGAGTCATTCTCACTATTTTCAGTAAGAAGATGACAGGGACGTCACTCATGGTAATGTCTTAGTTGTGAAGAAATTAATATTTCTGGGTAATGCTTTGAATTTGGCATTTCTTGGGTGACACTATTGGTCATATATATTGGGTATGGTGGCCACTTGCCAGCTCAAGAAGACTAAGAACAATTCAAGTTGATGGGAGAAATTGCACTCGTATACTGAAGAAAATGGTCGCATGTTGGTCCTTGCAAGTTTAAAACTTCATCTACTCACAAAAGCATAAAAAAAACTTATTACAAACAAACTGAAAGGTATAAGAACCTATATATATTCCAGAGGCCTTGACTAAAATTAAGAGTGAGTATTCAGCGCATGCTTGAATAATCAATCATATTCACTTGTGCAGAAGTAACTAAAGTAGTTGCTGAGATATCCTGATTGCAACTATTTCACCATTGCTTCCTGCCTTCATGCCATGGTATTTCACCTGAAGACCTGGAAGTCCGATGCAGGTTAACTACTCAAACACATGCTTTGAATTTAAGCCAATGTAGTTAAGTAGACAAACACATATATACGTACATAATATACAGTAACTCTCGATCCGTTGTTGAAGTTCATGAATTTAGAAAACGTTATATACCTTCATTTAACTGTAAGTTGGTGTTGATTGCAACTGCGTGCCGGGCTACAATAGATTTAGGCTGCCAGTCATTCTCCTTTCCCTTCCATGACTTAAAATCAAGGACCACTATGAAGAACATGTGAAAGAAATGTTAATTTAGAAGAGAATTACACCGTATATATAAGTGAGTAAATGGTTGTGCTGTGAGATCAATGGTAAAATATATAGATAATGATGTTACACCGGTTTAGTTGAATCAAGAGTTGGGTGAAAGTAGTTACTTTGTGTGGTGCGATCTTGGAGATGTTTGATATCAAAAATTGCAGCAGTTGCTCCTTCTGCTCTCTTCTTCAATTCATGGGTCCCCAGCAACTCATAGTCCCAGCTCCCATCCTGGTACCCCTCACTCAAGAACAACTCAATGTGTCTTGCATCTAGTGTTTGCATAGTTCCTGCATGCATTATGGTAAACACACAACAATGATCAGTATACCAGTCACATTAATCTCTTTAGCATTGCTTTCAAACAATATAATGAGAACACTTGGCATTGAGAAGTAATTTGCTTACCATCACAGGTATTGAGGTCACAAACTGGGCAATGAACAAGTTGTAAATCTGTGAGGGCACATATGAGATCATTCACTGGTGATATGCATGTATGTTGCTCTCTTCATATATACAGAGTACTTTTTTCTATGAAACTGAGTTGAATTGAACTTACCAGCAAGCCATATGCCACTCCTGATAGGACTTGCCACACATTTGCCATTCTGAGCCACCATTTCTTGTGTTGTCTCTTCTTTTGGGATTCTAAAAGGGGCAATTAGATTTTCTGTGAGAAGTGCAGCTTGTGAATCAAACACAAAAGCTCCAATGCGCATCCAGTCTGCCAAGTTATGGGATTTTTCTTTTTTCAGAATAAAAGCTGAATGGTTCAACAATGGAAAAGTAATTAAGAAATAAATACTAGGATAATTCACCAATGTGCTTGTCCTTCTGGCGGAACATGTAAGAATGACTACCACCTGTCAATTTTTGAGCTATACGTCAGATTTCTTTTAAACAAATAATTAGCTGCCAGGGAATGGATTTAAAAAAATTGTTAAATGTCAGGTACCAAAGGCTGTAGCATAGAGTTGGATCCATTTGCAGCCCACTTTCCCAGGATCAGGCACATCAAGGTCACGCAAACAAGCATACTTCCAAACACTCTCAACCATAATAACATGATGGAACCACTTACAAGTTGCTGCAAGCATTATCAGAGATTTCCCATCCAAATACTTGGCAACCTCAGTCCATGTGTCCTCTTCATACCTTCAGCGTGGAATATACAGCAATGAGAAACAAATTAGTCTCCAGAAAATCAGATGCAGTTTCTGCAGGTTAATGAAATGCGCTTTAATAACACAGAATCTATTGCAAGCAACTACACTTTCACAATCAAGTTCCTGAAGAATCTAAACGATCTGCATATCAGTAGAACTGGAAACTTGTAATGCATCATCACAGAGGTTAATTAGAATTGGAATCGTACTGGAAACATCAGGGTATTATCACATCTTTCGTCTCCTGTTGCAATCGATCAGATAATCATGAACAGAGATAGGGGAAAAAGGAGCTCAAGCTCAAAATAGATCATCGCACAATAAATTTCTGCACAGTAATCGAACATAATAGGTCATACTTATCAACTCCGAGCTAAATTGAGCTGAAATTGAACAGGTCTCCCGTTTAATTTAGAATCACGCAACACAGAGAAGTGATCTAATCGAGTAAACAAAACTTCATCTCGGAGCCTCAATTGTCAACAGCACTCTTCGCAGTTCATCATTCATTTCACACAGTCATAGCATAAAAAATCAGAAACAGTTTTTATGTTTTCAAATGCAGATACGAGAGAGAGAGAGAGAGAGAGAGAGAGAGAGAACCGGGAGAAGATAGGATGAGGAAAGAGAGGCTTGAATCGAGGAGAGACGCAGCAACAGAGCGGTCTCATTTTCCGAATTCGTTTCCCCATGGTCAAGTTTCCTGTGCTCGAGCTCATTTTTCTGTTCGAATGTCTGTTGCGGATTTGCAGGTTTGGAATGGAAGAAGAAGAAGAAGAAGGTGGATGGGGGAGGCTTTTATAGTCCCGCCAGCGCTATAATTCAAAAAGGCCGCATCTGGTTAGTTAAAATTGCAACGGTGTCATGGTTGTGCCCGCCCCGCCCGCAAATGTCACGCAGTTCTTACTCCCTGTTTTTATATACTCCCATTTCCTTTCCCATTTGATTTTTTCCCCATAATTTTTAAACTTTGAGTAGCGTATGCCGGAAAAAATAAATTATATTATTTTATAAATGTAATATTGATAGATTTATTTTGCGATACAATATTGAGATAACATATTTTTAAAAATATACCCCTCCTTATTAGAGTGTTTGTCTGGTTTGACTTTTTATGATCAACCATAATTAGCTTTAGACGGAGAGAGTATTGCAGAATTCCTATCATGTAATAATGCAATATTGTGAGCTTTTAATTTTAAAACTGTAATTTAGTATAATCTTAATCTCGTCAAAATTTAGGGTCAACATGTACACAATTTTAACATTGTCAAAACAGAGATTGTTTTTAAATCCTTATCCATTTATTTTTCGGTGAAAATTTAACATGTCATTTTAGTTTAGTCCACTCGTACTACTTCATCCGTCTCAATATTATTCACCTGTATCGATTTATGATATTTGACTAAAATTATTTTAAAAATAATTTATTTGAAAAATGAAGTAAAATTAAAATATAAAATTAATATATTTAAACACAATATAAAATTTTCTAGGAAACTAGAGATTACATGACTATTCTTTTATCAGATGTATAACGAGAATAGAAGAAAATTAATAAAGTTTAACTCTGTAAATAATAAACATGTAACAATACTATTTTAGAGCTTGTTGTCGTCTGATCTAATCTTGTCTAATAATCTTTTTTTGAATGATTGTGTAATCTAATCTGATTGTATTATATTTAAAATTATTTCTGATCTCCGAATGCAATAACAATACGTAATAAGTAATAAAAATAAATTGAAAATAAAAAGCTCTTAATAACGCAATATTTTGAGCTCCCTCCATGCCCAAATTAATGGTAGATCAAAATATAACTGAGATTAAAAATCAATTTGTGCCTCTTAGATCTTGGTGGCAATGGTGGTCAGTGGCACCATCAATTTTTCTTGGATTACTATTTACTTTTACTATACCCCCACACACTAGTAATAATAACAGGACCATCCAAACATGGTGTGCTCTTTCAGGAAGAAGCAATATCTCAATTCTTTGATCTATTCAAGTGGGGAACTCTGGCAGCAAGACAAGTTCAGTTCAATAGACAGACACTAATATGCAACCATTTTTTTTAAAGAAGGGCAAAATATACAAATCAGACTGCCAAAAAGAATATCCATACGTAACTAGCCTAGACGGTGAACTGAACAACTGTCTATGACAAATCCAATCTGATTGAGATTGGCAACATTTGCGATATACAGATGTTCGTGCCCGTCAATGGGTATATCAAAATTTGGACCTACTATGTAAAAAATGAGGGAGATATCAAACAAATGTGCCCTCGAAAGAATCCTGTACACTTTTTTTTGGTGTGTCTGTGACCTAGTTCATAAATTTCCTGCAGTTAGGAGCTTTACATAGGCAGGGTACTCTTTTCTCATCATGCTCGTCGGGATCAAACAAGTAATCGTACCTATCATAGAAGAATCAAAAACCAGTGAGCGGTTATTCGAGTAAAGTTGGCATTAAATATGTATTATTTCAGTGAGGGCACGCGGGCAGGGCATACGTTAACTCATCCCCAGCTGAAACATTAGTCTTGGCTATAAGAACGATTCGGCTATCATCTTTGCTGACACTAATAATCCTTGCATAGCAGTTGGGCATGCACTGCATTACCAGATACAAAGAAGCCTTATTTAATTGCGTACGTGGAAACAAAAAACAAGCATATTATTGATCACACGCTAAAAAAGTTCAATGTGAAAAACTCCCATGGTTGGAAATAATGCACTCACATAAATACAAAGCAAAAAAAATACTAAAAGGGAAATCATTATATCTTAAATACTTTTTTTGGGAATCATAACATAGAAATGCTTATAACCCACCCTTGATGACAAAGATTATGAGAGCTTACCGAATGATTGATAAGGCGTGCAATGTTCCCCTTATTAGTGGCATCAATGACTACTTCATCGCTGATTTTGAATAGCTGATGGAGACAATTGAGACATTAGGAGCTGATGCAGATGGAATCCTCACACAAGAAATAAATAGTCTGTACTATATATGACGTGATACTTCTAAGATAGATCCCAAGCCTCAAAGCTTATTTCAAGTAATTGCTACACAATGCATTGAACTAAAAGCATATATACTTCCTTCTATTGGGGTTTGGGTAGAGAAAATGATGTGGCTGGGGATTAATAAATGTTGATTATATTTGGTTAGTTTCTTTGTTTCCCAGTTTCTAATGGTATTTAAATCAACATCTCTATATCAATATTCATATCTTATACACATTTTGCATGTGTGATCACAATTGCATGCAAATAAAAACATAGTAATGCATGACTCACATAACAATCTTTGCCTTCGCGTTGGTACCTCGCCTCCCTCAGATCAACAACACTGCGCCTCACCTTCTCTCCACGATATTCAAAGACCTACAGCCAGAATTGACAACTTTAGTTCATAAGAGCGGATGGAGCATCAAAAGTGCCCGAGAAAAATATATTTCAATCAAAGAGAAAGTAAAGGACATGTTTGATTGCATAAGAACTATTATTAAAAACATATAAATATGCATACCATATCTCCTTCTTGAATGTTTCTTCTAGCAAAAACACCCCATCCATGTATTCCGGATTTACCAAAACAAACCCGGAGGTTTTCAGATTTCTGTCAAATTTAATAATGCAATCATACTTCAATAATAACCAAGGTATAGCTGGATTTAATTTCTTTCTAGCAAGCAATCAATAATGTCCAATGATCAGAGCACTTGCCTGTAGATGACTGAGGCGCTCTATGAATGTTGAAAACCCCTTAACCTCTGATATTTTCTGCAAGGAGATAGAAAATTGAGGTTAGTTGACTTAGCTCAAATAGCCAATTCCCTAGCCCGAATCTAAAAAACAGTCATTGATAAGCCAATTCTCAGAGAGAATGTTTCATTACGTTGTGTGCAGTCAAAAAATCTATCTCTTCCAATGGATGATGCCTTGGCCCCATTAGTCGATGAAATACTCCCACTTGTTTGTTGTGACTCTAGAAACCAAAAAATAACCATGAAGATCAGATAATCGGATGGCCAGGCTATAAATGATAAATAAAGGGCAAGAAGTGAAATGACAAAAGAAGGTGCTTAAACTACTCAATGAAAACTAAATGAAGGAAATCAAGAGTGCAATACCTTCTTCCAAGACCTTTTGAAGATGCGACACCTAGCAGCAGAAAAAGGTTCGAATTCAGTGTTCTCGGGATCTGATGTATCTGGGAGGTCATGACGTGTAGTTGAAATGAGCCTTGAAACCCTCATACAGCGTTCTCCACTCTGTCTCTGCAGCACATTTCCAGTAGAGAATACCCCTAAGGGGGTCCTCATTACTACAACATTGTCTGCATTTGGGGTTCTGCAATATAACAAGTCATAAGAATATGTAGCACTCCCTCCATAAGCAAAAGAAACGGTTTGAAAAGTGAAAAGTATGGAAGTGAAAAGTGAAAAATATGTAGTTGAAATATGTTTAGACAAAAGAGAAATGTGACAGTCCAAAAAAAGAAAGTGTTACTTTTATTTAGGGATGGAAGGAGCATTAGAACAACAAAAGTTTTGGCTTTGTTATCTCAGGGAAAAATGAACTTTGATGTGTTTTTCATTTTATTTAGGAATGGAGGGAGCATTAGAACAACAAAAGTCTCTCGGGACCTTGCCGGGTTATTGTTGTTGCAACATTTTGATTGTTGGCATTGAAAGCACATATTTAAAATTATAAGTTATTGTTTTTATGCCTTTATGTATGCAGGGGTTCAACTTACAAGTAGCATAGATGAAAATATAAGGCGCATAATACTCAAGGAGATTGGAAATAAGGATGAATGCACAAATTTGGATACTTATGCAATTGTTGATGCATTTGGTTCTGAAAATGGATTATTTGAAACATAAAAAATAAGCCTAAAACTTGTTTGACATGCACATTTTATCACTTAACGTGTTAACTTAAATATTCTATCATTTTATATATGTTTTTGACTAGTATTTTTTCTTGTTTTTGAATAATACATGTGATTTTTTATTGATTAAATAATAATTTTGAAGTATATATTTTGTCCTAACTATTTAATTATTTTATTTTATATCAATTCAAGGATTACATCTCATGAGGCAAATACCAACTGCCCTGAGTCCCAAATTTGCATGATTTTATAGTGCTGATGAATTCTATACAATTAATTTAGACTATATATTTAATGCCACTGATCCCAACTGCATGGGATTAAGGCAATAAAATGATGATTATTATTATTATTATTAACTTCCTAAGTCAACTGCCTAAATGAGTATTATCAAATTTATATAACTGGGAGTAGATTTAGAAAATTTGGGCGAGGGATCACATCAGCCATATAAGGTGTGGACTGTGGACTTAGTCCCACCCTCTTATGAAAAATAATGATTCATGTTTCACAAAAGAACAAAAAAAATAAAGAGCTTCTATGGAAATGTTCAAGTCCATTTTGTACTTCCAAATGCTAACTAAAAGGATGCAAGGAAATATAAGAGGATAGAGGTTACAAGGAATAGCGCACAAACAATGATTCATGACTAAAATAATGATTCTATTTGGAAATATAAGGTGTGGACTGTGGACTTAGTCCCACCCTCTTATGAAAAATAATGATTCATGTTTCACAAAAGAACAAAAAAAATAAAGAGCTTCTATGGAAATGTTCAAGTCCATTTTGTACTTCCAAATGCTAACTAAAAGGATGCAAGGAAATATAAGAGGATAGAGGTTACAAGGAATAGCGCACACCTATGCAAGGCACAATATGATACCCATTTTGATAGCTGCATTCCATTCTCTTCAAAGCACTTCAGCTGAGATTCAGAGTTGTGTTAACTTCAGTACTTCAATTTGAGACTAGATCTTTAACAATAATAGCATAGGGCTATAGAGTAACAAAAAAAGTTACAGCTTACTTCCACATGGTATCCAGCTCTTAGAGCGCACATTGCATGGAAAGAAGTGGCGCACTTGCAGCATTGCGTACAGGAACCATGAACTTGTTCACATATTGTGCATGCCTGCAAATACATACAAACAAGAGCATGTCAAGAGTCTATGCCTGAGCACTTTTCCTAGTTAACAGTATGAGTAACATTCACTAGCATATCCTCGGTAACTAATTGAATCTTAGAAACCACTAAACCACTCTGGAATTTGGCCATACAGTAGGGGGTCACCTTTTTATGATGGAATCTTAGAAACCCCATATATAAATAAGATGATTCTAAATAAATAAATAAATAAAATGATTCTAAATAAATAAATAAATACCTACCTTAACAAAGGAATCTGGAGGAATCCTAAGAATACCACTGGCAGGCTCCATTTTCTTCACATTTAAGAAAGCAACCTCAGGTCGAAACCACGCACATGAAACATGAACCCATAAGTTGTCAATATCTGTAGGCTTAAGTGCACCTCCTACAAAAAAAGAGCATCCAGTAAATGCAAGGGTTGAAAACCTACAGACTAATGAGAACATTCAACACTTACCTTTTATAGGACAGAGACAACATTCCCTTTCAATTTCAGGAGTTTCACACACTCGGCAGACCCATGAAGCAAAATCTTGAACTTCAGTGGCTCCATAGCATTCCTGATGGACAGCTATTTGACATCTGAAGAAATAAAGAACAAGAAAAAAGGTAACAAATAAACTGATCAGAGGAATATTCAAACCTCGAATCCACAAGGATTTAGGTGTTCAAATATGCTTATCTTAACATCAAATTACTAATAAGAAACATCTTCAGGCACCTGTTGCATATAATTATCTTGTTATAATCCCAATCTTCGACCCATCTACAAATAGCACAACGCTCTGAAGTCCACTTTGCAATAACAGGATTATACTTCTCTGCCACACATAAATCAGAGGCAATCTTTATTTTCATTTTTAAAGGGACATGCAGAAATATGTCTATAGAAACCCAAATATTGCATTAGAGAAACACGATTACCATGTAGAAAAGATAACAATTGTGAAAGATCCAACTTCAGTGAAGCAACACTATGATCTGTTATCTGCAATATCAACAATAAATGATTTCAGTTCTAATCCAATCCCCCCCCCCAAAATACGGAGTAAATGATTACAAAATGAGCATTCAGACAAATCTACCCATTTATCAAGAGTTATCATCGAGCCTTTCACTTTAACACTGTACTTCCATTTCTTTGCTCTGGATCCCGCATGTCGTTCCCATTCATTAAGTGTTTGTTTCCTTGTCCCACATGAACCACACTTGCACTGAACTCTGAAATGATAAGCAATGAAGGCCATTTAGTATTTCTCCAGATGTGAATTGAATTGTTTCTCAGATCACTTATACCAGGTTACAAAAACTACTTGAACATCATTAAAAATAAGAAAAAAAAAACATGATTGGGACATTATTATTATTACTACTACGTATTAAATTGTCATAATAATAATAATTATAATTACAATTATTATTTTAGTAGTAACAATAACAATATTAATGACTGTATGATTTGCCAGCATGGTGATGTAAAAGTGTAAACACTTGTTTCTATAGCAGCTCAAGCCACTTTTTTTAGCCAAGAAAAGTAAGTTGAAGATAGCTCGGCTAAGTTTGGTTTAATGGAAGATCACAATCAGCATCATCAGCATTTCCCCTTACATTTATAGAAACAATCAACTCCTTATTTTAATTTTGAAGCTTACAAATGAAGATTTGGGTGATAAATTCCTTCCATGCCCAAGCAGACAACTTCAACAGTTCCAGGCATCTCTGTTTGGTTGATGTTCTCCATAGGCCTGCTTGATAGGCTTCCAGATACCACATATTTTCAGAGATAAGTACAAGTCAGAAAGTGAAGTAGTAAGCTTTTGCTGAGGACAAAAGAAGGAACAATAGCATTCATTATGTCAATGAAGATACCTGGGTTTTTGTTGCCTTTTTTCTACACTGACAGAAGTATGACAAGCTTTAATTTTGCATTCGGGGCAGAAATAATCAGTGCTGAACAGGCCCTGCAAGGCTAGATAACTTCACTATGTCTAACATTCCAAATGCAGAAATAAAATAGGTACATTGACACTAATAAAATTTTACAAATCAAAATGCGCAAACCTCAAAAACGTTGTGGGATATACTGGTGCACTCAGCATGCATCCAAATATTGCAACCATCACAACATACCTAACAAGGCATACAGCCAAATAGAACAGCAAAGTTCAAATTTATTGTCTTTGAATTAGAAGCCCAACTGCAGATGAAAATGTAAGCATCTTACCCAGTTCCCACCATCAGAATGATGCCAAATTTTCTTGCAGATTCCACAGTACTGCTTTGATCTCCTCAGCTAACAAAAGAAAAACAGCTATCAAATGCAAAAGAGGTGTATTGATATATGAAATAGCAAAACAAATAAGGGCATAATATGAACATTGCAAAATTTTACCTTAGTACAGTGTGTACAAATAAAATGGGTTTGAGCGTCCCTGTCTTTCACTTTATTCATTGTTCTGCATGGCAGATTTAAACCGCAGCTGTCACAAAATCGAGTTCTTTTCCTCTTAGAGTATGCATCCTGCAAAGCATAGGTTGCACATGAAGCTTTGCTTGTGAAGTATTTTACGAAATGAGTTATCAGTGGTTTTGTCAACCAAAAAAATACGGAGTAATAAATTTGATAATAGGTTCATTGTTTCTTCAGAAGCCATTCTAGTGCTCACTACAAAGATTTTCTCCATAACTTGCCTGGGGGTATGAGCAGCATTCTAGCTCCTGATTGGATCCTGTGTCCTCTGCAATCTCTGGTTGGTTTGGAAGTAATGGTGTCTCTTGTGCATTGGCAGACTCTCCATTCATACAGCCCTGGCAAGCCAAAACTGCCTCTTCTATTGCTTCGCGGAAATCAGCTGGCTTGCTTCCAAACAAGTTAGTCTGTCCCTGAAATCTGCATACAAAATTATCACATTAAGTGGGCTACAAATAATCTAGTAGATATGTTGTGCAATAGATTTCACTCACTTCTCCAGGCACTCTTGAAAGGGAAATATCATTCCGGCTTTGATCCATCCATAGTCCTGCATGAAAACAGCCACCTTAGATCCTACTACGATATCATAGCACAAGGTTCATAACTTTAGACAATATAATCACCCTTGCTGTCCACTTTATCTCCATGAGTGCAGCTAAGGAGATGTTGAATTATATATAAAGAAGTGAAAAAAACAGATTACCCTTTGGTGATTTCTGGCGTACCCATAAAACATCACACAAATAGCATTTGGAACACAAGCCTTGAGAACAGATTTTGGTGCATCACATAGTGGATCAATGACAAGAGCTGGCCAGGCAGGGAACTTCTTTCCACATTTCGCCCAGACTATATCGCCCAAAAGAAAGTCCCCTAGCACATAGTAATCTTTCTTTTCAACATTCCTCTTTGTGTATTTCTCAGATCTTGCAGACCAAGTCTTCACCTTAGGTTGAGACTCAACAAATGATGAAACACCACATCCACTTACACATGTCAATGAGCTTTTTGAACTTGAATACAATATGTTATCACAATCCGTGTGCCCCATATAACCAACCCCACCTACCTCAGCTCTAATGTGACTATCAATCAACTTTATATCATGCAAGTGCCCAAATCTAAAGTTATTAGCTACATTTTTCTCCATACTACATGTAGGGTTATCATTGTCAGAACAGAATTCCTTCTCATCAACACTGGATGGATCTTTCTTCCACGAATGCAAAACTGAGTCCTTGAATTTAGAAGGAAGCATCTGAAAACGGCCGCGAGAGGACTTCAGGAGTGGAGCCTTAGTCGCCTCTAAACCTTTCTTCTCACCTGGAAAAGGTTGAATTGCACTGGAAATCATCACATTTGATTTCGCTTCACCATCATAGCTAGAAGCCCCTCTGCGCCCTGAACCAGCAAAACAGGTGTTCCAATCCTCTAACTCTGTGATTTTGACCGAAACAAGCTCATTGGTTCTCACTCTTTTAGGCGAGAACGTCTCGTCATTCTCCGCCAAATTGCACCGTTTCAACTTCGGCATCCCGAATATCCGTTTCACAACCATGTCCTCATTCTATTCTATGAAGAATTTAATCGCACAAATTCTCAACTCTTGGGTATGAACCCAAACCGGAACCCTAAAACTCTCGGCCGGAACAAAAAATTTCTCGCGTCAGGCCAAGAAAATCCCAGAAGGACAATTAAACGATCGAATTCGCTCGAATCTTGATCCAAACCCTACAAATCTCAAATTCTTAGCAGCAACAAACTCCCGAAAAAAAATAAAGGGAAGATAGGCAGTGAATTGAATTGAACCCTGGATTAATCGGCAAGCAACAATGGGGAAAACGAACGCAAACTGTAAGAATTTACTGAATGTTCAATACGCTTTTATGAAGAATCGATGCTTCTCCAAAAAATCAAAGGAGAAAGCCCAGAAAATATGAAGAACTGAAACCTACGACAAGAAAACTGTTGAGACGAGGAGAACAGATCGATGCTCTGCAGAGGTTGATGCCTTCCGAGTGCAGATATAGATTTTCTGTATGTAAAGAAGGGGAGTTTTTTTTGCAACTTATATTTTATTTATTTAGAGATATTTTTTGTCTACATATTCAAACAAAATACTCCAAAAAAAAAATAGAAACTAAACCGAAAGCTTTGGCTCCAAGAATGCTGCGAAATTCAAAAATGGACATAAAATTTGGGAGGGAGTCTCCGGCCGCGGGAGGCTAGTGCCACCGTCGGAGGTGTGACTATAGGCGGATTTGGATCCCAACGCCCCATAATATTTTGGGCTTAGATACTCTATCTTTCATTCACATCAGAACTTCATATTTTTCACTTATCCTTTGTAGTATTATCTGCCTTACATTTTTTACCCCTAAATTAATATAAATTTACCTTTGAGAGGTGATAGGGTAGAGCAGAGGCGGACCCACCTTGAGTCCTATGGGGTCCCGGGACCCCACGGACCCCGGTGTAGGTCCATATAGGTATTAGGTATGTATAAATATATATAAAAACTGCTTGACTTATGGATAATAGAACCGCGTTTGGTGTACTGGAAGGATGCCTAGTTACGCATAGCTCCTGCTTTCCTGGGACGGTGGTTCGACTCCCAGCTCTGTATTTTTCAGAGTCATTTTTTTAGTTAATTTTTTTCTTTATAAGCATGAAAACGACGTCATTTTCTCTCCCCCTTTTCTCTATAAATTTCCCCCCTCTTCCCCAATTCTTTATTTTACACTTTTAATTTTAATTTTGGAACTAACTCCCTAAAGCTTCTGCCCAATCTGCCGTTCTTCACTTCTTCTGCGAGACTGCGACCGCCGACCAGCCGCCGCCCGCCAGCGACGGGCGACCTGCGACCTCCGTCATCTTCTTCCCGCCGGCTCCGCCCGCCAGACCGTCTCCGGACTCCGTCACTCCCGTCAGCGACTTAGGTAAAAACTTTTCTTTATTTTACTAAAATTAATTTTTATGGTAGTTTGAACTTTGAAGTTTGATATATGAATATATGATTAGTATTTAGTAATATATAATAATTTATACATTTATTTTTTATTCATTACTTATTCATTAAAGAATCAAAGATTTTTCTTCAATAAAAATTAATTTAGGATTGCAAGTGATAAGTATTATTGTATTAATGTTCATTTTATGTCTAATTTACAGAATTCAAAATGCAAAGATACTTATTTATTTGAAGCATTTACAGTATTCTGTTTGTGAAAATTGAATGTGTTGGATATCCTACTCAGTCCTAACCCAAGTGCATCTCCCACACCCGTCCCGCAATTTTAGTTGTCTGTGTGGTAGCAAAGTTTGACCCCAAAATTATTATTGTTGTTGTTATTCTTAAATGAGAAAATGAAGAAAGAATTGGAAATCATACCGTGACCATTACTATGGAATCAAACAAAATGCAGCCTTACTGGCTTAATTAGGACATGTCCAAAACTTAGAGTAATGCCCCCCACTCACAGTGTTGGTGAAGCAACAGCAATCCAAGAAACGTGACAATATTATCACTAGTAGTAACGAGTACACAATCATCAACTACAACAAGCCCAGGAAAAGAAAGAATCTATATACCATCTATTTTATAGTGCGGAGTAGTGTAATAGTGTGTGTTTTAAGAACAAAGAGCTGCCCGCGGAGATCCTCTAGACTCAAACCAACCGTGGCTGGCTGGCGAAAGGCTTAAAAGAAGGGATCCTATTTTGACCAGGCAACCGAATCTATCTCGGTTTGAGCAGCTCTGTACAGCTCTAGTCTCTTGGCTAAGGACACACGCCTCTGCATTATGGCTGGGTCCTCATCCAACAGCTTACCCAGCTGATTCCCCTGCAACCACACAATCAATGCTTATGATATATACTCATATATATATATATATATATATATATATATATATATATATTAATACTAGACTAGATCACCCGCACACATTTAAAAAACCCAGAGGAAGTAGATGTTTTTCTTGCCTCTTTTTTGCCCAACTCGGCAAAGAAGTGGTCAAGCAAGCTACGCTTTGCTTCTCGCACTTGACAGTAAACAATCGACTTAGGAATTGAGTTCCTCAAACTTGCACAAACCATATTCACATAAGACAGCACATTCGATCCTGTTGAGCATGCACTAATCCAGTTCGTTATTTGCAGCAAAACGAAAATTTAAGTAAATGGAAATGCTTGGTAAGGTCGAGAGTCTCACCAATTCTCCGCAGGTAAGAATCATTATATCTATCGAAAATTGAATGTGTTGGATTTCCACCCTTCTCAGTATCCTGAGGCAGCTTCCGGAAGAAATCCACAGTGAGGTAACTACACTCCATCTCAACAAGCTGTAAAGTTGCTTTCTTGCTTTCATCCCTCATTCTTTCCAGCGATTCAACAGCTGCGTTACTCACCTCTACTCTAAGAGATGGGTACTGCTTTAGCTCCTACAAGCACATTATTTTCTCCTTCAAATCTCACCTCAAAATAGACTCTCTTGTCAAGGTTCCCTATCAGTGCATAAATATAAAACAATAAGAGGGAAAAACTTGCCGAGGTCTCACTAATTGCCTTGTGAACAAGATCCTTCAGTATAGCATGAACCTAAAACATTGTTTCAACACAAATAATTCGTTAGTTCAACCTTCCAAGCTACAGCCGCCACCATGAAAGTGACTCAAAGGGGGTGGGGGACCAGGATCCTCATATGCATACCGCGTCAACAGCAGCCTCAGCAGGACCCTTGATGCTGATCACTGAAGATTCAATGAGGCGTCGGTATCCTTGTTCGGGAGCAATCAAATGTGGTTGATAACCATCAGCTTCAGTTATAAGCTTCCGGACATTTTCCATGGAAAGATGCTTGTCAAATTGCAATCGTTTCAACGCAGCAGGGAGTTGGTTATCGAATACATTATAAACTTTGTCACCCCCTGGTCGGCTACAAATTAGGTTGGAAACGATCACACATAATGCATGCAGTGTGTATGTACGATGAACAGATTTTCTATAGACAAGCAAAACTTACACTCCGTCCAGGTGTTCTTTGAAATTTCCATCAAAAAAGCGGCAAATTTCCATGATCATATATAGTTTTCCCTGAATTTTTGTGCGGAAGGGAAGGATGTAATTAAAAAATTCATAGCGCATGTACAAAATATAATTAAAGCATTTAAAAGAAAAAAAATAGCTGCATTTAAAAAATAATAAAAATATACATAGGATTTGGGCAAATTCGGGCTGCATTATTTTGCCAGACAAAACAAGACCCCCTCCCCCAACAACCATAAAAATATATATACTACTCCGAAATAAACTTACTCCAGCATCAGTTGCAATAGGCTTCCCAAGACGGCTCAACTCCATTTCTAGATCAATGATATTTTTGTTGATAAGAGACTGGAGACCAGGGATGCGAGACTTGATGACAGACTCCAAATGCTAAACATTTTACACAATTAAAATGGTTAGAATGCTCATCGAAAACTACTAGAAAATAGTTTTAGGTAAAACAAGATTTCTCCCAGGACATGCAGGTGCCTACATGAAGTAAACACGAAAAAAAATGCTTACCTTAGACAAGACTTTCCCAAGGTGTTCTGAGCCCATTCTATGAGCAAGATGCTTGTATTCGGGGGTGCTAGAAAAATATTCTCGCTCTCTACGCCTAGCAGCTATCATGTCGACATTTTTGTTTATATCAGCTTGGGAACGATTAACAACACCAATCCATGGATGTGGTAGCCGGTATGCTCTTCCTTCCAATATCTGAATATCCATGAACAAGAATCAAAACAAAGAATTATACATGGTACCTTCTTGACAATAAGAAACAAGCAAAACACCATATTCTGTATTTCAACACAATCCATTAACGAAGAAAAGCAAGAAAGGGTATACCCAATTGGTGAGGATAGAACTTCTAAAATGACCATGTTTATAAAAAAACTAATAGATTTTGCACTTAAAACATGATTTTCAAAATCTGTAATCTACTCTAGAAGGTTAGTGCTTGTTTGGCCCGCAAACAAGAGATTTTTTTTGTTTATCTAAAATATTCAGCATATATAAACATCTTTTTCAATAAACACTAGCTCATTCAAACATATACTAGTAGCTTGGTGCAGAAACTTGCCTCAACTGCATCAGTACCCTTGTCCATAAGATCAATTTTTGTCAGAACTCCAAATGTCCTATCCCCTGCAATGTTGAGGAGAATGACAATATTACATAATCATAATCATTCGAGAGAAAAGACACCACTACACACAAAAAAGGAGAAATTTGTCATCATCATGAAAAATACGAACACCCCAGTTAGGTCCCACAAATGACTCCACAACAACAAACCCAGTAAAATCTTAGGAACAGTAGGGGCCCCACATGTGGGTCATCAAAAAAAACAAAAATCAATATAAGTCACATTCTTAAAATACACTCTTGTTTCAAAAATTTTCTTCATGTTTTCACTTGCCGCACTTATTTAGAAAGTAAAATTGTACTCTTGGTGTTTATTTAAAAAGGAAACATATAATATCAATAACACAAGTCTTTCCTTAAAGAGGACGTGAAGAAATTTTGGTCGAATTCAAAAAAAAAAAAATAAATTATGGGATAGAGAGAGTACTTGAGACTTCATACACTCCTATCACATAAATTTTGTTCAAGCTTTGACTTGACACACTTTTTTTTGAAACTAATTATATTGTTGATGTTCGTTTAGAAAGGAAATAAACAATATCAACCTCACAACTCTTTCCTTAAAAGAAACATGACCCAATAAGAAAAACAAGAAAAAAATTATGGGAGAGAGAGAGAGTACTTAATTTATGTCACAGCAACCAAATACCTTACCCTTTGGGTCTACTTCACGAGAGATCTTTATTGCATCTGAAGTGGCCAAATCTTGGTTGGCAGGAGAAATTGCCAAAATTATACAATTTGGCTGCAATGCCAATGGAGGATATGTAAATCAAATACCATCTTCCACAATTGATTAAAATTTCAAAAATAATACTCCGTATCTGACTAACTATTTTTAGCATTTCAGAAACATATGCACTGAAAATACGTAAATAAATAAAACGGAGGGAATCAATAACAATAGTTTGAGTAAAATATTTTAACATAAATTTACCTTCTCGATGTAAGAGCGGACCATGTTTTCAATGTCATGCACAACGCTTTCAGGTTGACCATCTATAAGAGTTTGATAGAAGAAGACATTCAGAATACATACAAATAAGATAAGAACAAAATCAATATCTCAAACAAATAGGAGCCTAGGAAACCATTGACTCACCAACAGCAACCTTTGTAAGACCAGGAAGATCAATCAATGTCAAGTTCACAACTGCCATAATAGAAAAGAAGGATAATATTAAGAAACCCCAAAAACAAATTAACTAACTTCTCAATCCATGCATGAAAAGATGAGGCCATGAGTAAAGTCACCATTTGATGACAACTAAATTGTGCCAACTAAATACGGAGTATATCTTACCATTTGGAGAATATATACTGAGATAAATTGGTACGCTTGAGATTGTTTTAGAACGTCCTGTCTCGCGATCAGTTTCATCTGCAATTTCTTTCCTCACAGCAGCTGAAAAAGTTTTTGATGATGCTTAGTATATTCAAGATAAATGATAGAGAAAACAGTCTTGAAGAGGTAATATATGCATCATAGTCCACAAGCAGGATAAAAAATATAATGTTCTTTCATATCCCAAACTCAATGGATGCAATTAAAATCAATCATGTTTTTATAGTATCACACTCATCTTAAGACTCACCAAAATCAGTAAACTTTTTCCTCTGGAGGTGTCCAAACTCTGCATATTCTCTGCTGTCATCTATGCGATGAAGCTGCAGGACAAGTGGTCGACGAGTCACAATACCTGCATATCTTCTGAATCAATACTAAATAATTTTGTATCCATGTTTTTTGGGTAAACTATATATATTAACATTAGTAACCCAAGTGCAAATGTACAAAGTAGGACGGGCATAGCCGAACAAGTCAACGGCGTACAGAATCCGGAATTAAAAAGTATAACCACATGAATATGTCGGATGTGTATATTATTTCGTTTAATAAAGGATAACCAATACTCCCTCCGTCCAAACATTCATCTTACCATGTGAAAATTCCATGAAAATTTAAAGTGAAATTGTGTAGTTGAAGCTTATGCATAAGGGATAGAAATAATATGAACCAACAATTCTTTCCTTAAAAGGATTTCTAAAATATTTGAGGAAACAAGCAGCAAATTCCTTCATTAAATGGAAATCTTAAATTGTGTAAGGAAACAAGATAAAAATTCTTTCCACACAATTCACAACCTTCATAAGGAAACGAAATTCTATAACGGTCATCCATCATTCATAGGCTATTTCCACATGCTTGGAGAATATGATGAGTCGACAGTGAGTTGAGATATTTGTTTTTGGCATGTCAACTTCACAGTTAAAAATTCAAGACCAACATGAAAATCAATTAACATGGCCATTTTAATGCTTTACCCAGGTAATAACAGTTTGCAAATTGTCCCCTATCTGTTTGTTAACCAATAGTACTCCTGGTGTCTGGTGTATAGACATTGTAGATTCTTAAGCTCAAACAGAAAAAAAAAGTATTTTCTCAGTTTTATAAACTTTTGACATGGAATGTGATGCATTGTCCACACGAATTACCAGATCCACGGGGCAAAAAGTCCTTGCCAACAATGCTCTCAAGCACAGAAGACTTTCCTGAACTCTGCGCAAATGAAACAAAAAAGAGTGAGGACTGGGTGTTTCACTACAAGGAAATACATGAGCAAGGCAAACGCAGAGTGCAATGTGTCAAAAAGAGTGAGCGGAAGCAGTTTGACCCGGCACTTCCAAGGAACAGGCATAGGATTAGGGATAAGATAACAATAATCTGATGGAATTCAAAACATCTTAACGAAACCCTAACCAATTGATGCATGTTGTGAACGAATCGATCACAATCTGTGTGTGGGTGTGCATAATAAATAAATGACACTGTTATAATGATGATGCAAGAACGGTTGTGTGGGGAGAGAAGAGAGATCTGATCTGACACCTGGCCGCCGACGACGGCGATGGAAGGCAAAGCATCCCAGAGAGTAGGCAAGGCACTGTCTTCCCCGTAATCCCCGAGGGCGGTGCAAGCTCTCTGCAATCTGTTTACCAAGGAGATAAGGTTCTCCATTGTTGTGTCCTTGAGATTGAAAGATCTGTGCCGATTTGAATCAAGAACCGCTCAATCAATACCCGCTCAGCGAATCAGAGAGTACGATGGACAAATAGAAATGATTTTGAATATCGACACAAGCCAACGCGCAAGCTGAATCCAGAATTCGAACAAATGAAAAAATGTTTAGATATCATTTCTAATTTTCTATAGATCCTTTGAATTCTTTTTCTGTTAAAAAAATACCCATAGTAATTATTACGGAGTAGTCCAGTAAGATTCTATATTCTATAGTATATCGAACACTTACATGTCGTTTTCAAAATTGATGGTTCATATGTTCTAACCCATTCCTAAACCTCATATCCCACCCCACCCCATTTACACCCTCACACCCCCCTTGACAACGTTCCGTTCAACTTATTTTTTTTCTACTTATTAATTATTATTTATTCTTATTATAATCGAATCGGATCATACTAGATCAGACCTGCCCAGATCTTCAAAAAATCAAATAAGATCAAGTGAACAAAACACAATGTTAGAAGATTGTTTCTTCGTAGAATTTTTTCATAAACATTATTAATTTGTTATTTTATAAAAACAAGTTAGTGTTACATGTTTCAAAAGTTTTTCTTTTCATGCGATTAGTGATTAAACACTGATCATTTATATCACTCATTTTCACCCGATTTACCTGTTTCACCCATGAGTGATGGATAAATCGAGTGATATGTGATACTTCCTCCGTCCCGCTATATTCGTCCACTTTTGACTTTTGGAACTGTTCATCTAAGCACTTTGACTCATCAAATTCTCTCAATGTGTAAGCCTAAATATAGTCATGTGTGATCTTGTTTGATTTGTTTTAATATATAGATTATTAATATATAATTTCTATAATTTTTTAATATACAAATTACAAGATAAAATGGATTAAAGAAGTGCATTGGATGGTGTGCAAAAATGAAAGTGGACAAATATAGTGGGACGGAGGAAGTATATATAATTGATGATAGATGAATCGCGTGATGAATATGAAGTCGATTATTGGAAGAGGGCATGAAGGTGAATCTCCAATCCATCCCTATCATTTTATTACCCTCGTAAGAGAGTCACAAGGTGAAAATAAACAAATACTAAAGGTACGTCACAAAGTGTATTACAAATGTACACTACCATATTTTCAATACACAATCTTAAACGCAGATAAAAGTTAGAGAATTGATAAATATTACTGAGTGCTCCTTAAATGATAAGATGAAGGTTAGAGAATTGATAAATGTATGCCACCACCTTTTCACTACATTTTTTTTGAAGATGCTAGGGGCACAAAGTTGTACCCCAAATGTACATCACATGCCTCTTTACCATTCATTTTATTTAATTTTCATTTATTTACTCCCTCCGTCCCAAAAATATTTGTCACACTTGTTTTTTCAGCACTCACGTGAACTTTTATTTATTTCTACGTTTTCATTAGTTATTTGATAAAATAAAATATTTTTGACACCTTATTTTGAAGAACTTTTCATGTAGTTATTTGATATGTAAATTTTATTTTTTATTTCTATACCAATATGTAAATAAAATGAATTGAAAAAATTTGATATTTTTACTCGGGAATACAAGTATGACAAATATTTATGGACGGAAGGAGTATTTTTTTGAACTTTACATGCAAATTTTTGTGCTTAAAGAGGGGATGAAGGATATTTGGGGTAGACCTTGGTGTACCCTAGCATTTGTTTTTGTTTTTTTTGGCTCGCGTTCTTTTTGCTCTTTTGGCTCTCCAAAGTCCAAATACCGGAGTAATTACTACTCCTTTTTTTCTTTTAATAAGACTAGTAATTAAAGAAAAAGGAAACTTAACTTTAATTAGTTTTAGGGTATTGCTCTGTTCTTTCTGACTCTCATCTGACCCAGGTCAGGTCAGGTCAGGAGATCATCTGTCTGTTCGTTCCTATAGTCAGTCACTCCGCCCGCGATTATCTCCCCCTATACAAATCCCCAGTAACTTCCACTTCCATGAGTGATCCGTACGGATCTAAGCCCAGCCGTAGCACCCGCGGCGGCGGCGGTGGCGCCAACTTAGCTTCGTGCCTCCTCGCCACCTGTTTCCTGATTTTGGTCATCGCCGGAGCAGTGGCGGCTTGCTACTTTGTCTTCAAGCCCAAGCCACCAAGAATCAAGGTCCAGGCCGTGCGGTTCTCCAACTTGTCAATCACAAACGGCACCCTCAACCTCGCCTTAGTCCAGGAGGTCTCCGTCTCCAACCCCAACCGCGACGTGTTCAGTCAGTACGGCAGCACCATCCAGCTCAGCTATCACGGCCGCCCTGTCGGCGTGGTGTTCATCCCCACCGGGAAGATTGAAGCAGGGCAGACCCAGAGAATGTCTGCCAAGCTGAACGTCCAATCCTACCCATTGCCGCCTTCTTCCACCACCTCCTTCTCATCGCAGCCGGGTGAAACAGAGACTATGGTGATAGAGACCAGGATGAAACTGGTGGGGAGTGTCAGGGTGCTGAAGGTGTTTACCCATAGAGTGGAGAGCAATGAGAAGTGTACGGTGTGGACTCAAGCCCCCAATTTGTCTGTATTCATCCAGTGCTCCTGAATGAAGAACATTGCTAGGGAACCCCACGGTTTTGACACCATAGTTTCTCACACAATAGAACAACAGAATTGTCTGATCTGTGAAACACTATGGTGTCAAAAAAGCGGGGTTCCCCTAGTTTTTTTTCCATGAATGAATGATTATCTTCTGCTTCTGCTGCCGCATCGTTTATTCATTTGAAAAAAAAACATAACAAGTGTGTGTATGATAGAGAGAGAGTGAGAGTGAGAGAGTTCATATTGTGTTGCACAACAAGCTGTATAGACTGAGCTAAAGAAGCCTTGAGAATTCTGTTACAAGCTTGATTTGGATTTACAATTTCCACAACTACTCATATTTTGAGCTATTTCCTTGTACTGTCAGTGTCAAGCAGCTTCCTTTGTTTTCTCTCTGTTGTCTTATTACTGGGAAAAAAAGGGCAAAACAGATGTGAGCTTACAACCATATATATGCAAACACTGCTAAAATTCTAATATGATGGTGGGTTTTTGAAGGTTCAAATTTACCTGTAGGGAGGCGGCTTTCCAGTACCAAACATGCCCTTCACTACAGCCTCCATATCAACACCGCGTTCCCGCATGAGTCTATCATGGTATATCTTACTCCCTATTTCGCAGATAACCTCCTCCACCTCTTCTAGCCGCTGGTCAACATTCAGCTGCAGCTCCCCTTTCTTGATCACAGTTACACCAAAACCATTTGCTTTGGCTGCCCGGAAAGCATCCTGCACCGTGACCGGAAGCAATTTTAATTTTCGCAAGTAAACAGGGCAGTAGAAAGAGGGGGGGGGGGTTAGATTTAAATTTACCTTCGGATTCTGCGCGACAACAAAGGCATTTCCATGGCCAAGTGATTCCAAGTGAGCTTGTATGATGTAGCACATATTTTTACAGTCTCCAGCATCCTCAAAACCGATAACATGATTTGGTGGAGGGTCCAATTGCAAATCAGAAGCCATTTCCAATGAATAGAAGCCCGCTTTCATCTCCCCTTCTTGCTTGATGTACATTTCAATGCACTACACATGAAAAGAAATATGGGGAAACAAAATCCAATAAATGCAGAAATTGTAATTCGGTAAAATGAGGTACAAGTGTACAACACCTTTGTTACTAAAATGATAAAGTTGGCCGGCCACTTACCAGTATATGTGGCAAATCTAGCCACCACAAGTAATCCTCTTCCTTCTCATCACCATACTCGCGATATTTGCTCACCACAGCTTGAGGTCCAAATACTTCCATTTCTCTTCTGACTTTGTCGAGTTTCTCACTGATGAACTTCTTTCCCCTGTTGGGCAATCCATCAATGAGTTCACTGGCTTCTTGTATCTCTTTCTCAGTAATCCATCTGTCCAAGTCCTTCCCTATATCCCTCATAACACTTTTAATTTCTGGGTCTGTCTCTGCATTGTACGACTCTAGGAACTCTCGAGACCATTTCTTTGTATGCTCCCAATACTCTTTCCCAGATTTTTTCCCAGCTCGAGTTGAACCGTCACTTCCCTCTATAATGGTCTTTGGAGCTTTTGCAGGCTTCTTCAACAAAGAAGAACTGACTTTAGCATTCGATGAAGATTCCGCTGGTTTCAGATGTGCCTCTCGCCCGTATGTATTTTTGAGACTAGAATCTTTAGTACTTTCCTTAGCTGTCCTTCCCAGCCTCACATTGCTATTTAGTAACTCCTGGATTTTCTCCATGGGAGGACTGCGCCACCGAGGCATTATTTTCTGTGGTGGGTCATACAAACTGATGCCATCTAGAGCATATAAAACTTCCTCAGTAAATATCAAAACAATTTAACCAAGCACCAAGTAAAATAGCATTTAAGTAAACTTAAACAGAATTCATATCTTCATTTTTATCAAGAGATAAAATCCAGGTTAAATGATCATGTGAAAGATAGGTACCTGTTCCATAATCAAGGTTTTCAATGTTTGCATGGAGCCATTCATGCAAATTCAAAAGCTGCTTGTTCTCTTGTTCAACTTTCTTCTCAAGGCCATCAAAGAAAGCAAGTTTATCATCTTCGCTCATTAGGAAAAACGGGTCTCTTCCAGCTAGCTCATTGTCTCGAACTTTAAATACAATCCCGTGGAGCCTTTCATCTTCCATCCATTCAAGTTCTCCACCGTATTTACTACTCTCAAGATTAAGTGGATTTGACTTTGCATCCAACTCTAGATTAAATTTATCCTTTGCAACCAAGTAGTTATCCCTATAGCCTGTCTGCATTTTCTTGATTACTGGCTCAAGTACATGAAAATTCTTCTCCAACCAATTTTCCTTATTTACGAACGGAGCCGTCTCTTTTAAGCCAGAGGGAGTTTCAGGAATATCTGAACTTTCTGCCACTCTTTCCTTGACATCTTTTAGGATTTCCATGGCTGGAGCAGATGGCTCCTTTGTGAAAGTGGAATCCTCACAGTTAGTTGATGCTTCAAGTGAAATGGAAGGTGAGGCAAGCAAGTTCTCATCATCATCCTGCTTCGAGCTATTCTCCATTGCTGAGTTGCCTGGTGGAGCTACAGAATTATTATCAACTGGAAGATATTTCTCCTTATCACAATTAGAGCCATTGAAGAACTCCATTGAATTGGTTGGTGGGGAATCAGCCTGTTCAAAACTGGCTTGGGGAACAGGTTTTTTCCTTCCGTAATTAGAACTTTCCAAGTACCCATCAGGTTTCACGTGCACATGGCCAATATCTTTCTTTTCCACTAGATTGGCGGCTTCGGTGTCTACTTCTTCGACAGTTGCCACTATTCTCTCTTGGGTTTCTTCACATTTCCTAGAAAGGTATTCTCTAGCTTCCTTCACCGACGTTATGATCCTTGATTTTGTCTTCTTACGATTTTTACGTGGCTTGCTTGGGAGGCCACCTGCACTGTCAGATTGTTCAGTTATGCCACTGACATTATTCAACAAGCTCGCATCATGCATCAATTCACTTAAATTTCCTGTGGAACTTATAGCACTATCAAGATTCTTTGAAGCTACACAACTCAATATTCTATCTTCTTCTTCTTCTCCATCTTTATTTGACAAAGGACCTTTATCTTCCAATTCCCTAGCCAACTCTCTGATTTCATGAATCCTATTCTCAAATTCTGCATCTCTGATATGCAGGTTGCTTGAATGTTCTGGCAATCCTGGTTTATCACGTGACTCCATTGAATTCGTTATGCTAGTCATGAGTTTTTCTTTATCAAGCGCAGGCCGTTCAATAGAAAGGATGGGGTTATGCTCTGCGGATCCACGGACAACTTCCACACCACCAATCACCATTTTCTCCTTCTTCACTCTAGCTTCTCTCTTTCTCCTCAGCATTTCTTTCTCTAATCTTGTAAGGTACTGTTCATTCTTCCCAGATTTAAACAACATCTTCATACCCAGTACTGCAACAAGACCACACAATACTGCAATTCCAGAATGAGGTGGAATTTTATAGGAGCTCGGATTTAGACTGAACCCACTTGTTGTCCCCTTCAGGACAATGTCTAGCTTCCCCTCATCGGAGATCAGAAACTTTGCAACCGAACTGTTTGTCGGTATCACATTTTTCCCAGTTTCCATTTCCCGAGCCAACGATTTGGCAACGGATAGTTTTTCATTGACTTCACTGAGATCCTCAACCGCCGCAACATCCTTAAACAATGATGGCAGAACTCTGCTCCTTCTGAGGATTTCGTCCTCATTTACAACAGCCCTTTCGACCTTACCCTTAGAATCTCCATAAACCGTGAAGATGGGACATGTCCCAATGCCCCAGAACTCTGTGTCCTTCCTATACTGCTCAACCCAATTCTCTAATTTATCCAACAAGAGGGATTCGCCCCCAGAAGGGACTGATAGATTAATATCACCCCGCAGGGTAGTGGACTCTCCACGAATGTGAGAATCAAGACGTTTCCCAATTCGATCAACATTTTCAATTTCCTGGGCACTTTGAGAAATGGGAGAAGAGATTACAGAATCGCCACCACTAACCTCCTGCCGTTGGATCTTTCTTCTCAGATGGTTCTGGCGGACGGAGCGCCGGTGAAACTGAGCTGAAATCCGGAATCTAGAGCGGCTAGAGAGGGGTGAGAAATGGGAGAGTAGGCGGATTTTTTTAGTTCTGGGGAAGGCGAGGCTAAAGTGGGAAACGATTGAAGGTTGGCGCTGCAGAGTGGAAAGAGGAGTGGGGTAGATTAGAAGGTCCATGAGCTAAGGGGCACGCCCATGACAGGGAAGATAAAAGCTTAAACCTTGATAAATAGAAGCCCCCTGATAATACTGTAATAATAAGTCAAGGGTTCCTCTTCCTCGAGAAGACGACTCTAGCATTCTTGGAGTATTTACTCCGTTAATTATTTTTATTATTCCGTATTAATTTTTTACCTCTTAAATTAAATCTTTATTTATTACAGAGTATTTTTAAAGTCAAGTTTTATTTATGTTTTTATCTAATTGATATACAACATATATTTTATTTAATTATAAGTCATATGTTGAAAATGATTGGCTGCAAAAAGTCAAGACTGGAAAAATATTCAAGGACAATGTACTATAATTTATGAATATGATTTGTGAATAGTAGTTTTTATCTATGCTTTCCTTGTTAGGGTCTATTTCTATTTTAATTTTATATTCTAGCTATCCTTTTGGTTTCGGTTGTTATCCATCATAAATGTTTAGATTTAGCATTTTCAAAGTTAATTTTGAGTATTAAACAATTATCCAAAATACCAATGCTAATTGGAAAGATTATTTCCGGAAAATGTCTAAAGGCAGTGGTAACAAGTTATAAATTAAGAGTTGCAAATCAGATAAACACTGTCTTAATATATAAAAGCACGTAAATTATTTAATGGTGCAAGTATTACTCCCCCGGCCTACTCGTTGATGACAAAGACAATGTTTTTTTCCAAAAAGAGAAGAAATAAAAACGTTTCGTGGGCATTGAAATATATTTTGATTCACAATTTATACATATAAATTTTGAAATACAAAGTGGGATTAGCTCATTCCAAGAGAAGTTTCAACATTATGCTAAGCAGCAAAACTTGTTTCACATTGGTGATGTTAGGACTGAGTTGAGAGTTCACTTGGCCAAACTTGTCAATTGTTACAAAGGAAACTTGAGAAACCAACAAAACATTGCACTCTCTAATTCTGTCTATGTACAAACCAGACA